GGTATCCTCACACAGTCATGTTCTTCAATTAATTCCTTATTCTGCTAAGGGTCTCCATGGCTAAGTGTTTAAACCTTTCTCTTTACACTCTGGAAGTCGTGGGTTCATTTTATAAACTGCATTGCTCGGTTCATGAGTGCAGTTTTTGAGAACTCTGTAAATTGTTGCTGGAGCTATGGAGTTAATACTTTGTGCTAAGTTCTAGACGAGCTTCTAGCCTTTCTGAGAGAGACTGAGCTTTATGGGGTAAAAACTTGTGCAATGAAGTTGATCTTCTCATCTTTAAACCTTTTTTAAACTTGATTCCTGCTGCCCCATCTAGTTGATTTATGAACCCACTCTATTTCAGATGTTAGATAAACCCTTTCTATCAAACAATTTAAGTTTTGTTACAAATTTGCTTCAAATCCAAATGCTGATTGCTTTAAAAAACTGTCTAGAAAAGAGTTTAGCTTTTGTTTTTGTTGGAATGCAAAAGTGAACCTTGCAAATGAGTTTTGTTTCCTTGCACTGACATGGTTCTGTGATGGGAAATGTTTTTATTTTAATGAAATTGAGGTAAAATTAAAAAACTGTTATCATTGTATTTTGCTGTTTAATTTTTAAAGGGAGAAATGTTTTAGTTTGAACTCAAGCAATGACAAAACACACAATTTAAAAAACAAAAATGTATTTCCTCTAGATTGGCGCCTGCAAGATTGTCGCTCGGTGACTCAATGAGCCACAATTGGGGTGAGAATCCACCATCAGCAGATCCTAGAAATCCTGTTCAGCTGTATAATACAGGTTATGTTGGAATGGCCCATGGTTAAAGTTAAACTGATTTCAAATTGACATTAGGCTGTGAGTGCAGGGTCTGGCCAGCGAGCACTGCAGAATCAAGTTCAGCAAATGATTCATTGAATGTTGAATGTTAAATTAAGAATCAACATCACAGCACTCAGGACACTCCCATAAGTGCTTAGTCCCCATCTTTAGCAGCAGGTGAAGAGTTCTAATTCCAATGGTACAGTCTGATTGTATATCCGTTTCATCATTTCCCTGAGTGTTGAGCATCGGCCAGATCCCCTGGTAACCCCTCGCAGCCATTCTCCTTAGACTGTAATTATCTATCTGCACCTCCACACTGTTTACTTACTCCCAAAGGGCCCTCACAGTATCTAAATTGTCATACATCAATTCACCATCAAGTGGTGCAGAGCCTGCCAGTGTATCTGAGTGCTCATTTCCACACCGACTTTGTTGTAAGGCCTCAGAATTAAAGATCTATGTTGCAGCCAACAATAAATTGCAGAGAAGGCTAATGGCTATGACTCGAGAGTATAGGTGAAACTGTGTTGACAGTTAAGTTTCCTAGAAGTATTGACACCGAGAGTAAAATTAAAGCCGTTTTTAAGAGGCTCAATGAACTTTGTTGCTTGAGTGACTAGATTTAATGGCTGTCACAGATGCCTTGGTGATCCCGAGAATTTAAATGCATTGGTACTGGTTTGTGGTTACCCCTTTGCATGTCCAAAAGATGTTGAATAAACCTGTCAGTTAGTTGTAGCCCCATTTCGCTGATGTAAAGGTAAAGTCGGGAGATGTGAACCAGTGTCATTGCACAAGGTTATAAATCATAAGTGCTCTGCCACCAGTACAAACAGCTGATAAGAAACTGTCCGCCTGTGTCCACGTCTGCAAGTAACTCCGTAGCTACAGCGACGCTCCTACATTTACTCCAGAGTGTTATTTATGGAACCCATTACCTAGAGGCTGGGTGAACCTTGGGAACCACCTGGTTTTGAACACAGGCCATGGACTGCAGCGAGTTGCTGCTGGAGTTGATAGCAAGTCCCCTATCGACTGCACTAACACAACCCCCGTCATTTGCAGATGATGGTGTAAATAACGCTGCAGCTTATGCAGTAGAATGTTTCACATTTGTGAAAGGTGGCATTTGGGAATTGTAGACTTTTTGTACCAAATGCAGACAGGTCTAACCATTTATGGCAGAAGACTATGCCCAGGCAGAAGATGACTGACTCTAGTTTAGAACATCTTTGAGGTTATGGTCATGTCTGTAGGTCACTAGGGAAAGTTAAGAGAAAATCGTACTGGCAACAGGATCAGCCTGTAGGATGGAGAGATGCCTGAAGAGAAACTTTTTGACACAGATGTTATGAGGGTGCTAGGTGGGTGAGAGAGTTTTGTGGTGGTAATGCTTAGGCTTCGAAAGGAGAGCCTCAATACGACTGATAGACTGTGATCGGCAGCAGAAAAGATGTGTTCAGAGTAACCTCTACGTCTTCCATCTAATTACTCCATGTTACCTGAATATTTCAAAAGATTGTCTTCTTGAATCTTATGTGCTTGACAGTTTTTTTCTGAAAAGACATGCACTCAATATTGCTGGAATTTATAAATTCCTTCTTGACTTCCATCATTCAGTCTTATAATGGTTTACAGACTATGTCATCTGTATTCCTCAAAATACTTGGGTTTTTTTTTTTTCACAGGCACACACCTCTCTTTTTTTTTTTTTAATGAATGACTTTCCCAGAAAAGCACCACTTTCTTCTGATAAGGCCCTGAGACCGAATCTGTTAGTAGGTAATGGATGTGATTATAGTTTGATTTCCATGTTATCTACACACTGATTCTAGACATGTTCAAAAAGTAACAGAACTTTTATATTTAACTAGGCTGTCATGACTCTGTGTATTACAAATAATGTTTTAGAGCATCTGTATCACATCTCTTTAAGTTCTTCTTTTTCTTCATGTTCACCAGCTGTAAACTCGGGCAGAAAGTTCTGGATGTTCATCCACTTTTGGACTGCAGTCCTATTCCAGAACCTGAGTTTTACATGTGCATCCGTTTTACAGATCTGACTCATTGTATGCAGACTGCTGGTTCCTTACCTCACAGGCAGATGCACTCCAAATTTGAAGGAAGCTCCCAATTAGCGGACTTTTCAATGCTTTCACATTATGCTTATAGTAACAATTTCTCTGCACAAATTGTGTTATTACTTGCTACAACTCAAAACGCAATTTTAGGATTACAGAAATGTATCAATACTGAAGACTGGATTAGTTTGTTTCTTCCAAACATTTATTGAGGCACCTGAAGCAATAAAAACATCCACACACGTTCTTCATAATGTGTAAAATACACATTACACCTGACAAAAACAATAATATAAAACTTTTCAAAAGTGCAAATATATTGAGGATATTGCTTTTTTTTTTTTTTTATCCAAGGTCATCAATGTGTGCCCGTTTTACAACATGACTCAATATTTGCGCCTTTCGGCCAGCGCATTTAACTTCTGCAGGTATTTGTTGCCCAGGTTAGCTTTCCCAGGTATTGAAAATACAAATGTGAATAAAGACTTGCACACAACATTCATGGCTAAAACTCTCCTTTAGAGCAAACTGCATGATATTTTCTGATAAACCAGAAAAAAGTTTAGCAAGTCTGTCTTGCCTAGGACTAGATTTTACAATCTGGCAAATTGCCATCATTTCAATAAGACTAGTAATGAGTTTCAGCCTTATCCAGCCGGCATCCATCAAACTGGCCTTCATCAACCTGAGAAACAACACCTAGACCAATCAGGCATACACACTTCAGCAAATGGCTTAGTTCTTCCAATCACCACATGGAAATCTTCTAAAAAAAAAATGCTGACAGAAAAACGAAGGAACAAACAGCACACATATTTTGAAACTTTAACATATACACACACACATATATATATAGGAAAGGTAGCACAGATGAAATTTTTTTTTTTATATTTGTACACTCTTGTTCCTTCACTTTAAATGCACATTTTGTCAAACATGTTTTTATTGGCAAAGCAGTAGGTTAAACTGAAAACACTGAAAAGAAACAACTGTAGTCCCATGTCTGATAGTAACCACCACTGAATAACCTACAAATATTGTCATCTAATAAACAAAACAGGTAGGATGCAATAACTGAATGCAAGTAAAATTTCTGTTCAACCTTATAACTAAGCAGGGCTGTCACTGTCCACCCATTTCACAAGTGCTCGTCTCCTCTCATAGATCACACAATGTGAATCTCAGCACAGTGCACAAACTCTGCAGCATCATTCTGTAACTAAAGATTTCAGTTTGTAACTAACTGTGTTTTGTACACTACAGAATATCGGTAAACATACTTAATAGTTCATGAGTTAGGAGAGAAATCTGATTAACACAAATAATAACCATGCAAGACACCAGTAATCACAGGAACATAATGGTTATATTCTTGCACATCAATGAATAAAAAAACACAAATATTGGCCTAGTAATCATGGAAACAATGATTATATCCTTGCATGACAATAAACAAACCTTTTTTAAAAAAAAATACAGCCCTGCAATACAATATGTTGTAAAATAAAAAAGATAGGAAGGAATGTCCCCTAACCTCTCAATATTCCCTCACACACATAAATGTTTATCCAACATGACCATTATATCTCGTGGGGGACAAAAATAAAAATTTCCACTTTTGTCAGATTTTTGTAAATTTTTGCTGAGTAGTAATGGCTATTGTCATTCTGTGTCAAAGTAGAATATCTTTAATGTCATTCAGTCAAAATATACTCCTAAAGAGCGACCTAATTGCACTTTCATACGCAACATCAGATGCCTTTCCAACTGTTCTTCCATGCGCAGCTACATTATAACTCGCCTACTTTGACCAAAACCATTTCCACTTTCTTGTTTCTCAATGAATTTAGTATATACTTTTACACGAGGGTGACCATAACATGCAATGCCGGCCAATCTAAAATTTTAAATATAAGCCTAGCATTATATGCCAGAAGCATGAAAAGTCATTCACCTGCTGTCCTACATGCTGAAATTCACAAGAGTAAAACACTGTTTTGAACAGCCAAACAGACCAGTGAATATATCATGTTATTTATAGTACCTTTATTATTCAAATTAATTCACAACATTGGTATCATTTCATGCAATTTACAAATGCTGAGGTAATTAAAGTTCTGTGTTTCTAACACGGTAATGGATTAGAGGATCTGTTGGAGTGTGAATCATGGTGGACATGTTCACCTCTGGGAAGTAGCCATCAACAAGGTCAAATTCGTACGTCCGTATCAAAATGGAGAAGATAGTTTTGATCTGTACATAGGCGAATGATTCTCCAATGCACCTGTGACGGCCAGCACCAAATGGGATGTAAGCAAACTTCTCACTGTTGGCTACCTCTGGGTCAAGGAATCTAAAATGGAAACCAAATGAAAGATGAAAATAACAACAAAAAGTCTATCAAAATAAAATCAACAATCATATTACTGAATTGATAAATCAAATATTCCTTCTGCGCTTACCCTTAAATGGACGGTTGGCCAGCTGTGTTGTGGTTCGCAGCTAGGCTGCAATGTATGCACCTTCCAGTCAAACATACCTGATTTTCTTCTTCTTCTGGCCTATATCCCCCAATGCAGAGCAAAAGCCCTCAACCAACCCACATCAAAATCATCCTATTCTTTGCTACTGCATACAGCTCAGCCCACATTCTCCCTATATATATTTTTTTTTTAACTTTACCCTGTAGCTCCCTTCTCCCTCTAGCTCCCTTCTACAGGTTTTTTGGTCTACCTTTATCTGCGTGTCTCTGTGGGTTCCAGTGCAAAGTCATTCTAGTTATACTGTACTCAGATTTTCTCAACGTGCAACCTATCCACCACTAGGTTTTTTCTTACCCACTTGATTCACTAGAATTTGTTCAGTTCTCTCCCAAAGCTCAATATGAGTGATTCTGTCGTACCTCTTAATCCCCCTATTCTTCATCAGGCATCAGTTAATGAATGTTTGTATCAGATTTTAACAAACCCTTATTTTTTTTTAATTGAAATTAGTCTATACTACACCAACCCTATGAAAACCCAGCCAAAATGGGGAGAATATTAACAGGAAATGTTATATTGACAAAACGTGACAAATCTTACCTGTCTGGAAGAAACTTGTCAAAATCTTTCCATGTATCTGGCAAACAGTGGTTGGTTGTGGGTGAGACACACACCTGATGTCCTGGAGGAATTGTGTAACCCAGCACAGTCTGTGGTAGCATAGAATCGCAGAATATGATATACTAAATAACTCTGGATACTTCTGAACTTACTAAGCTACAAACAGCAATGAGAAAATTTGCAGCAATTGAGCCAAAAGTTTAATCATTTCATAACTATTTAATGCCCTTTAACTGGAAGTTATGACATAATTACTGATGAAATTTAATGTACCAAAGTTCAGTACTGATGCCTGACCATATACATTTATATGTATGACATGTTTAACTGACTAAAAATGTGTTTTTTTTATGTTCAATTTTATGCCTACAAAAAAATCTTCACTGAAATTATGAAAATAAAACTGCTGGTGTTAAATTTACAGAACTTCAAAAGTTTTAAAATGCTACTAACCCTTTCATCACGTTAAACAAGAAGAAACAATACCAATTACCCGTAATTAAGGCATTCTCAATGAAAAAAAAAAGTACAGAATACAGATGCAGCAGAGAATTAACAGGGTCACATTTATGCGAGTCTTGTTCATCTGTTCACTTTCTGATTTACACTGACAGACAAGTGTTAAACTTGACTTTTTAGGAGTTCCCTTTTAGTCCCATACAACTCTGAGTACACTGTTTACTCAGTGGGTCAGTATTCCCTTCTTTAAGTGTAAAAATAAATTGTTATGGTGACTCATTTTTGACCCCATAATCCAGTCATAGGTCAACATCATAATTTATTTTTAAAAAGCCATTTTTCAGAGACCCCTCTAAATGCTATTCTTGGTAAAAGTCCTTCCGATCTGCTTAAATGTTTGCACAGGTGCAAGTGATAGCAATGCTATAATCTAGGACTCTTATGTACATGCCACTATAGCCAAGTTGCAAAAGTAATCCCCTTGAAGGATTGAACCCAACAGGTAGTGTTTTGCAGTTTCTCAAGGAAGACTGTTAAAAGGTCATTTTTTAATGATCTCTGACACCTGTCAAATATGCAGTCACTTACCCATCTGATACAGTAACTATTCAGATGACATACATAAAATAAGTACCTGGGGGGTTCGACACATTCTCATCATTGTCATGATTGGTGGTCGTAGCCTCAGAGTTTCCTTCAGGCAGCGATCAAGGAGCTGCATCTCCTTCAGCTGATCATAACTGACTGGGGCCAGACTATCTCCACAGATTGCCTTTTGTTCTTCATATACCTTTTGCTGTAATATATTTCACAAACAAAATGTTTTAGGCCTATTTACAGCACAATAGAAGATCATCATGTTACATGCACAACTCACGGTCTAAACAATACTGCCCAGAATTTGTAATATAAAGCTGCCGCCACACCCCACCCCCCCCCCACGGGGTCCCATTGTGGAGAAAACAAAAAAAGACACATTGCCTTTACAACAGGCATGTCATAGGAGTTGACTAACTGGGGGGTCCTTAGAAGTCGGAGTGCATCTGCCCACGCGGCGAACGATCACACAAACGGATGTACACGCAAAACTCAGACACTGGCAAAAAGCCAAAATCTAAGTGGATGAACAACTAGGACTTTCCATCCAGGCCTACAGCTGGCCAACAAAGGACAAGACGAAAAAGAGTAACAGGAAGAGGGGAAACTTCATTCCTAGCAATAAAAGACCATGGGCTGCAATTTCCCTGCCTTTCTATAGCATAATGGAACACTATCATCCCCTAGAGAAACCCAAGGAGCTCATACTGGCAAACTGAAATTTCAAAATGTGACTTCCTGCACCAGGTTTTATTCCATGCAAGATGGTCTCTCTCCCCATAGCAGCCAGCCATCTATTAACAGCAGAAGCTCCTGAGCTTCAGCAACACTACCCTAAAGCTGCTGCAAATAAAAATGCAGCAGTCCAAAAACCTTCAGACCAAGCAGGAAAGTGTTTCTACTACCCCATAAAGCGTCAGTCCACCTTCAGAACATGAAGAAAATGGTTTTAGCTCCCCCTTGAAGTTCAGCTACAGTTATGACATTACATATACAGCTGCAAGACTAACATTAGAAATGAATGAATGAAGAGAACATTTGAGCGTGCTATAATGTCTAACCCGTTGATGTGATTATGGTACTGCCTTGCCCATTTACACTAATTATGCAGTGGTAACAATGTTTATAACTTTACGCCTGTGCATTAAAATGTACAACAAATGCTTCCAGCAGCTGATTACAGATGCCACTCAAATCAGTCACAGGGAGCCTCAAGACAGAAGTCTCAAAGCAGACACTGAAACAGGGCAAAGAATACAAGAAACTCACTTAATCATCTATTTATATTTAAGCAAGTGAACAATGCAGAAGCACAAATAGATTTTCTTGGTCTGGGCAAAATGATACAGAAGAAACTGGACCCTCAAAGGAAGGCACGACTGTCATACACAGTGTATAATTTGATTGTTACTGGTACCATCAGGACTGGAACTCTGTGCTAGCTGCTGAAGCAGGGGACTGAGTACTTATGGGAATGTCTTGAGTGCTGTGGTGATAGTTCTTAACTCAACTTTTATATGTTGATATATGCATACACATTTTACACAATATAAAAAACTTATAACTAACCAGCACTTGTCAGATCTTCAACACAATGTGATTATGCTTATAACTCACCTGAAGCTCTTTATCTTTAGCCAAGAAAAATCCTAGCCAAGAACTTGTGGTTGATGAAGTGTGCTGGCCAGCCAATAACAGCCCAATCAACATGCCAGAGATTTCATCATCAGTCAGGTTTTCACCAGATCTAATGGACAAATAAACAAACTTTACTTTCAAAGGGTTCAGAACTGGAGCATGCAGGCCTGACTTACATTCTGCCCTTCTAACCGCACCTCAGTAAAACCCTGTTAGCATGGATTCCAATGAATCAAAATATCAAGAGTTTGTGTTACAACAAAAAACTTTGCAATGACCAAATGGCTACAGTTGCCCGACCAGTAAGGTCACTGCCAAGAAGAAAAGCAATGACAAACTACCTTCTTCAAGATACCAAGACAAACTACCTTCTTCAAGATGCCAAGAAAAATTACCTTCTTCAAGATGCCAAGAAAAACTACCTTTTTCAAGATGCCAAAACAGTCATGATTTCACAGAAAGTCATAAACTTAGAATAATTAGACGTCGACAGAAATTTTTTGGACATGTTATGAAAAGAAATGGCACTAGAGAACTTGGTTAACAACTGACAGGATTGATGGAAAGATAACAAGAGCAGGGCAAAGAGATAAATATTCAGATGACTCTGCAATATTTATTGGGGGAGGAGAGTGCAGACAAGAACATTAACCTGATCCATGATACTAGTGATCGTTTGAGATGGCACCAGCACATGCAGGAAGAGGCATGGACACAGATAATATCCTCACTGTTGTACGGACGAGGCTAGCAGTCAATGATAAATCACCATTGCGTTACTAGGAAGTAAACTTGGTAAAGCATGTCTTTGCTGTCTTCGAGGCTAAGACAGGAGACACTATAAACAACTTTACTTCTCATGGAAACATGGGAATCAGTGCAGATACCTAGCTGCTGCATTGAAGGACTGAGTACTCGTGGGAATGCCCAATTAGCAATGTCAACTGTGATATCATTTCAGTATATGAGAGTCCCCTTCAATATTCGGACTGCCAAGATCGTCAGCATTTTTCTTTTTCTGGGGTGTTTGGTACTCTATGAATCTTCCTGTAACATTTAAGCTCAAAAGCACCGACTTTCTTCCTTAGTAAGAATAGACAGAAATAAACATTTACCCTAAATACACAAAATAATTCTTTAACAGAGAGAAAAGGGTATACATGCTAGTAACTTGACAACACCCACATACTTGTATTTTGATTCTATCAAATTTTGCAGCATGTCATCGTCTGGATTGGGATTGTTTCTCCGAGCCTGAATCACTTCATGGAAAATCTTTTTCATTTCTATCTGAGCCCGATCACGTTTCCTAAATGTGAATACACAACAAGCAATACAATAAGAACGTTTACTAATTACCTTACATAATTGTAACAATTTTCTCTCTAAGCGGAATGACGTTAATGGGTTGCTCCTAGGCCTGTTAGGAATAATTCTGGAAAAAAAAAACACTTTCCAATATAATGAAAAGAACTCGAATATGTTTTAGTTGCTCGTTCCCAACTTCTACTACTACTGTCCTTTATACTCACAAAGTTGCAAAAGCCCTAATTTACATTTAGGGAAAACTTATATCCCAAAAAGCTAAGATATTCACAAATACTTGTATGCATTAGTCCCCAGTCAAGGTCCCAATATCACTGCAGATGGGTAACCCCATAACTGATCTGTCCTGTTAAAAAAGTTAGTTGTGTATCCTTTACAGGATGTTGCAGAACCAACCACAGCATTTTTTTTGTTGCTGTTGTGGTTTTCTAGGCACATCTTACGTTTAACAGTTTGCAACTACCTCTGAACGGTCAGCTCTCGGTACCATAGTCGAAACCGACGCAAGTCATACTGTCCGCAGTTGGGAGCGAACCCGGCACTATAAAGCGTGTTCGCAATGCCTAGGCCATAAACGCCGACTTGTTCCCGCACCAGTGGAAATATTAAAATGTCCTTTACTGTCCCATTCAAAAACTACTGAACAATCTTGTCAGTCCCAGCAACCAAACTCTTGAAGCTTGCCCATATGAAGTAAATCTGCATACGGCAGTTGTCAGATGTGCCAACACTAACATGTTTGCATTACTTCATCCATTTTATGCCTGCTTTATAACCACATGACATCTTCCTAACCTGAAGCTGGGAAAGGGAAGCCACCCAGGCAGCAGCCATGCTAAATGAGTGAAGCCACCATCCAGATCTGCATACAGCTGAGCAACGTGTTCATCCAAGCGGGACCTTATCTCACGACCTAGAGAACAGAGATCAATGTTCAACACTCTCTTTTTTCCCCTCTTGAAACACAAAACACAACATAGGCAGCATGCATATACTTTGATATTAGGTTTGAATTCTGTTTTTAAATAAAGTCTTGGAATAGTTTCAAAAGTATAAGTAAAATAAACACTTCCTTTTACTTGGAATATGGAAGAGAAAGCATGGTCGGGAAGGAATTAACCACTTCTTTGACACTACTGCAATCTAGATTATGCACAACCCTTATCACTCCATAATCCAACAGCATCTGCATTAGGATAATTGTTACCGTTTTTTTGCAATCAACAAAGACCACAAGTATTTACATTATTCATCCGAGCAATAACCGGGATACGTCTGACCCATAACTATAACTGAGAAGAGTTTATTACCTTTACTGTAACCAACATGCAAGTGTCAACTTCAACAACATAATCTTAGTTTACTTTTTCCTCTCTTCCAACACTAATCTGTGCAAGAGACCAACAGAACAATTAATTTAATCCTTTATCTTGAAAATGCTACATTCTTCTGTGTCACATGTCCTTACTGTGCCAGGACCTACCATTTTTCCCTTAAAGGGTATAGCAAAAGTTTATAAACTGAAATGTTCCACTGACCTTAGTATTTTCATGTAAAATTGAATACTACAAATAGTACAAAATAACATCCATTAAGACGTTCTTGATTAACACTTGGAAAAATGGTGAATTAGGAAGCATCAAACTAAATTTTTTTTTAAATGTCACTACACTGGAGAAAAGACTTTCAAGTACCTACTACTATGTAAGTAAAATGTGGGTGTGGATGAAGATGGTATCCACTGCAAACTAATTTCTATACATCTGAATCGCCCTGACTAGTATTAAACTTGATTCCCCACTCCAACAACTGTCACTGAGAAAATTTATATAGAGGTCACCAAGTACCAAACTATCATTTAGTGCCTGTTGTACCTCTTTTATCTTTAATGTTCTAACAGGTGTTTTTGAAAAGCCAAACCGTTGCTTTAAAGTGACAAAACAAAAAGACGAACTGGTACTTGTTTCGAAACAGTCTCGCAATTGAAAGTAATATCTATATGGGTGAGTTGGTATTCCACTACAAATGAACACAAATCCAGCTCCCTTACCATGCAAACAATGGCTTGCTGTGAGGATGATCAGCTCAGACAGGGCTTTGAAAAGATCTGAAAAAAAAAAAATACTGAATATATAATGTTTGTTTGATGACTAAGTAAAGGCTTTTTTCAAGTATTGTGACACAACAGAACGAAACACACACATCGACAGTGAGACTCAATGAGCCTGAAGAAACAAACTGGCAAACGTCTACTAAAATGGGTTGATATCATCCATAAGTCCTGCTTCAAGAAGCTATCTTGGCTGTAAACATCAGGGCACATAGGATGAAAGGAAATGAAAAAGCCGACACGCTGGCTGTGGTCAGTGGTAACAAATATGGACAGGGTAGACATTACAGAGATGCACAAAAACAAGAAAGTCAGAGACGATGAACTATCTGTTTGTTATTAAAAGAGGACAAGCATGAGTCCTGTTATCTGAAAGCCCCCCCCCCTTCCCGTTTTTTTTTTTAAATTTGTATAAATAGCATTAGCATTAGGTTACTACAATTTTCCTTTTATAATTACTACTATTACTATTTAGTTTATTTACGTTTTATTTTAAAACATTTCTTCCTATTTCTCTACAAGTGTTCACATGATGGTTCATTTCTGTTTAGCGACCACGTCAGGTGAGATTTAGGAACATTCAATAGTATAGGGGGTTGGGGTTTCTGTTAAATGAATGGTGATAACTACTAACCCTAACAACCTATAATATGGGACTTCCCTAAATTTCGTGTGATGAGGGCACTAAACAGTAAAGAACCCACATGACTCCCCCATGCTGGGGCTGGTGACCAGAAATTCCTGTTTTCTTGTGCCACCCAACAATAAATGTCTTGGTTGAAATGTCTAAGTGTTCCTCTGTGTGCTGTCTTACCCCCTACTCTGGTTTGTGTGAATTCATTTATACCAGTTCAACCGTAGCCCTCTATTTTCACCGCTTTTAGACAATAATATAACAATACTCACTACACAGCAAATTAAAGAAAGAAATCTCATACCATCAACTCCCTCTTTGCTCCATCTATTAAAATAGTTCCTGGTTTCCTCTTCAATAATATGAACATGTTCACGAAAACGGGCAATGTTTAACCCTGTCTTGAACATTTTCTTCTGCTCCATGAATATCTACAGAGACAAGAACATTACTTTTTAATTGTTAATCACTGAATCAATTCACTCTGAATAAATGTAGGGATGCTGTTGTGCATCAATAAATATGGTGGTGGTGCAATAGATAAAAAAGGAAAGGACTCTTTTTCCACCTTCAGGCGTACTGGGCATATAGGGCCATACTTCTATTTTACAGACCAATTGCCACTTCGTTGGTGATGTGGTCAGCACCATGCCGGCAGCCTTTACTTCTCGGGACTGCGCCTGCTACCCATTCAAAGTTGGGTTGACCAGGGAGATGCACAGGACCAGTCTAAGCTTTTCAAGACCAATCTAAATCTCTCAGCGGTCACCCTATAGATAGGTTCGATTGGGGGGGGGGGAGGGAATGAAGCTAATGGCCATCGTAGAAAGGATCAATGTTTCCTTCAGAATACATCTTGCCTGAGAGGTGAAGAACCAACAGTCTATACAAAAATAAGATGGATCCGTAGAACGGATGTGCAGGCAATGTTCAAGTCCTGGAACAAGACAATGTAGGTCACAGACGAACAACCAAAGTTCACAGTTGGCAAATGCAGAAAAAAGAATAAATGAAATAGAATAGTTGTGTTTAACTTCTAGAACTGCTGTCAGAAATTTTGACTATAAATATAAGAAATAATTTCATGTGCGGAAGTGAAGGTTTTATTACACACACTCTATAAAAGTCTTGACATAATCTTTTATGTAAAATAATATAGTTATAAATCAATCTACTCAAATATTATAACAGCAGTCACGAATACGAAATCACCAACACAGCAACTTAAAAAAAGGTCCTTTAAAAGTTTACACACACAAAAATTAAAATTAATAAACAAAAAGTAGATGTCTATAAAATGTAACAAACCAGATGTTATCAAGTCACATGGGCGCGCATGGATAGCGTGAAAGTACAGATAGATCATTGTGATCTAATGAGAATGGTAACAGGAGATCTTGCCAACAGTTTAAGGAAAGGCAAGAGGGATAAAAAATTAGCCAGCTACTGATACCATCAGAATTGGAACACAGCCCTGGCTGCTGTAGATGGGGAAGGAGCAGTTAAGCTGTAATGTCTGTTCTTAACAAATAAATAAATAATTCTTTTTTTTTGAGCAACAAAAATGTGTATTTTTGTAATGGTCTCTTTCTGACAAGCATCATTCAGAACAACCGAGTTTCTCTAGTTACCACCTAGTATTACAATTGTATTTTCATAACATGCATAAGATTGGATGGGCAACAATACTTACATGGTTAGGGACATCATATGCTACACCCTTCCCAAAGACCGGAGTGACCAGGCGACTGTAAACATCCTCAGCATTTAGATTCTCATTTTTGCTGTTAAACATCAAAGCTGATGACTCTGAGCCAACCAGGTATGTGAAAGTTTTTCCCACCATTGTAAAGCTAAAAACGGGTCCATACTGAAAGATAAGGAGAAATGACAGCTAATAAAAAAGACAAAAAAAAAGGTGCACATACAAAATGACATAATTTTTTTCGCCTGTTGTACAAAATTGTCATGGTTGTTCATGCATTTATAAATTTTGGTCTGGTTCCAGGAATTTCATCTACTGTTCACATCTGGCTTATTTGTATGCAACATCGGTATCTTGCTTCTTAGGCAGACACAATCTGACTCTGAAGGCAAAGATTTTATATAAACTGGTCAGACAACCCCCCCCCCCCCCCCCCCCCCCCCCCCCCCCCCCCCCGACCCCCCCATTTCCCGGTTTATTAAATGACCACAGAGGGGTCTAATATGGATGCTATCTGTGCTATTACATATTTTGTTTAACCCTAAAATCTGTTCCATATGTATAACTTCAGCAATTTAATTATTTCTATGAAAGGTTGGGGGGAAAAAGCTTACTAAAAATTTGAGGGTATTCTTCAGTTGAAAAAGAAGAAACAAAATTGGCTCTCTACACTCACCAACACTTGAGGGGTAACAACACACAGTTGGTTTTACTTCTAAAACATTTTCTGCTTCCTAGTTTAGGTTGGGACAAACCAGGAGCCCAGATCAATTATACAAAATCTGCAAAAGCGTGCATTAGAACCTAACACCTCTGGGCAGGCAGGCAAGTGTTTACCACTCTACTACTGTGACTCTTTTGAGTTGAGTACTGACACCATAGCATGCTTAACATTTATATAAGTGCTCCGTCCCCCTCTTCAGCAGCCAGCAGAATTGCAATTCTTATGGTACTAGTAGCAGTCTGGACTGTATGTCCACCTGGCCTTTCCTCTGAATGTTGAATGTCAGCCAGATCCTCTGATCACTCCCTGGTGCATTATCCTCTTCAGAACAAGTTAATCTACTTGTACTTCTACACTGTTGACATGCTTTCAGACAGTTTTGACCACATCTAGCTCAGAAGGTTCCAATTTACCACAAAGTGAGACTCCCCAATGCTTGTGTGATGTACAGTGAAGTTATTTCCCTTTCCTGGAGTTTTCAGTATATTCTGTTAGTGTTATGGGTGACCACGCCAAGTTAGCCTACATTTTATATACATCTTCTAAATATTTGCCTAATTCCCTTCAGCACCTTTAAGAGTTTGCTTGTATGATCTTTTCTTTTCAGCTCATTCTTTGCATTCAAATGTTTATTACTGCATCTGTAATAAGTTACAATTACAAAGATACCCAACAATAGGCTAAAAGGAGGTATATTAATATTCTCACTTTTAGTACCCAGGAACTTACCATACAGTCATGGGTTACTCTTTATATGGTAACACTTTTTTAGCTCTTTCTGTCCTACTCTTTTGTTGTCATGTAAACCAATTATTTTTTAATTGTCCCGGCATCTCCTTCTGGTTCAAAACTGGAGTGCTTTCAATTCTATAAGATTTATTTGTTATGAAATACAAAATAAATAGCATACACATTCTTCACTTAAAATCTACCCGAGACTGTATGAGTTCCAAAAAAAAAAATAATTAAAAACACAACACACTTTAAAATTACCTTTTCATAGGCAACCAAGAGAAACTCAATAGGACTAGTTCCAAAACTGATGGCCTGACCAAGAAAAGGAATTGTTGATGGTATATGTGGTGGAACTTTTCCTTCAACCTGCAGATGAACACCAATTAGAACAAAATGGCATCAATAGTAATCAAATCATCTCTCAATTACTAAATAAATGTGTCTATATGTATTTGCGTTAGTGACATAGGGCTCACATTCAATTCCACCCTGTGTATTTTTTGTTTCAATGTCATGGACAGAATCCAGTCCAGCACCTTTGGCCTCTCAACAAAGCTTATCTTAAAGTTGCCTAGTTCGGTGTTCGAAACCGGGCGGCTCCCGAGGTTTACCCAACCTCTAGGAAATGGGTACCAGAGCTGACACTCTGGGGTAAATGGAGGAACATCGCTAAAGCCACAGAGTTACATGCGGACAGCGACACAGGTGGACAATTCTTATCAGCTGTCCGTACTGGTGGCAGAGCACTTATGGTTTATAACCGTGTGCTATGACGCTGGTTCACATCTCCCGACTTTACCTTTACGTTTCTCTTAGACTATCCTATTTTCCTCAGTTTATTTATACCCCATTTCAGTGCTTGTCTGGTGATTTCCTCTTCATTTCTCCCCAGGATGTGCTTATACTGCTATCCTCTTTGTTCTGTAACTGATGATTCAAGTGGTTCTCAAGCCAAGACAACTGTCTTATTTCTTTACTTTTCTTGATCTCATCCCATGTTATGCTTCTATTTGTAACTATTATCTTTAGAACCTGTGGTTATAACTCTTTACAACTGTAAGTCCTCAACAGATAACCTATTCAAAAGGTGACTAACAAATGGATGGGAATTGAAATTTCAGATTTGTTCCATTAAATTATAAAAATTAGCTTACTAACAACTCATTTATTATATTTAGCTCTGCTAATTAAAAATTTATAATTTTAAAAGTTGATAATCCTAACAGGGAGACTTTCAAGCAGTACGTATAATATATGAACATACTAGTTAATCAGATGTTTTTAAGTGAGTGTGTCAATCATTCATACAAGCAATGTTTCTCTTGCAATCATCCAAATAGCGGTCACAAATTCAAAATATATCTAAATTTACTCTTTGAGTCCCAAGGAACGCATCATACGTTCATAGGTTCCTACCTAGAAGCCCAATGAACGCATGATGTGCCGATTTTATTACTTTCTTTACTACACCCTGGCCTGTGATGCTAAGCCCCCTGGGACTCCAAGAGTTGAAACGTGCAGACAGTTATGACATCGCTGCTTACATTTCAGATTTCTAAATGCATGCAGTCACCTTGTAGACTGATTGCTTGCCATAACAACATGAAAATCAAGGCTGTCAGACCACCTATTCATATATAGTGCAAATACGGTGTTGCCACAAAAACGTGGGTTGTCTTTAGTTTAGCTTGCTCAGTGGACTCAAGACACCTAATGGTTACATCCAAAGGTTTGGGTAAGGCAAACCGGCTCTCCTAGCAGATTTGGCCGGTAAGCTGCACTGCTTCGACTGCTTCGGCCGGCTTAGCGGGACTTAGTGGGAGTTATGTCCCCGTGGCCGCACTCAAAACATTGAGCGAAAAAAGTCACGAATCAAATGGCATACCTACCTATCATCATCCGGGTGCGTGTAGGGTTGCGTAGGGTGTCTATCATCGTCCTACGGTTGCGTGTAGGGCTGCTTATTGCGTGTAGGTTGGTTGTTTGCGTAAGATGAGGGGTAGGGTTAGGGGTTAGAGGTTAGGTGTTAGGGTTTAGGGTAGGTGTAGCGTTAGATGTGACAATTGTGACGCCGTAGTTCCCTATAATCGCGCACAGTCGCATGCACGCGCAAACAGTCGACGGACGGTGGATGCTACTGACACGGACAAGTCGCCACCGATTGGGCACCAGCCGCCCGCTATTGGCGTCATATTTGGCAGAGTTTCAGTGGCGCCACTCCCACAAGCATCAGATTGTCGGCCACTATTTCGACCTCATACGTGAAAATTTTCACATCGAACCATAACCCTAACCCCTAACCCTAAACCTATACCCTAACCCCACCCCACATTTTACGCAAACAACCAACCTACACGCAATAAGCAGCCCTACACGCAACCGTAGGACGATGATAGACACCCTACGCAACCCTACACGCACTCGGATGATGATAGGTAAGTATGTCATTTGATTCGTGACTTTTTCCGCGACTTGTTTTGAGTTTTGCGAAGGGACGTAACTCCCACTAAGCCCGCCGAAGCAGTTTAGCTTGCCGGCCAAATCTGCTAGGAGAGCCGGCAAACCTAACTTTAAGCTGCACTTACCTTTCTATGTCCTCATTTTAAGAATTTTTGTGCGCCAAATTTGGGACCACTGTTCGGTGAACTGAGATGTTTGCAACATATTTTATTTAGGCTCTCCTCTGAAATTCTACCCCGGCATTATGGTGGCCGAACAAATATCCTTACAGGGCTGAGTCCTAATAAAAATATGCGAACTTCCGGCGACGAACGAATCGCGGCAAAACTAGGATCGGCTCTGTATAGCGAAACAAATGCTCTAACATGGTCTCAGCGATATGTTAATTGCGGACCTGTTTCTTATTGTTTCTGATTACCTGACAATTTTAAGAGACGCAACACTGCAGACGATAGTAGCAGATGATAATAGCGACCACTGACACTTTCTAGCGTTTCTGCAGACGATAAAAGCGACATGGCGGGGAGACCAAGTGCGCCGACGCAGATTAGCGTCGTCGTTGTCCTCAAACTTTTCAGTTACACTCACCGTCCAAAGTATCCCCCGCGCCACTGATGGGGGGCTAAACTAGATGCCTGGGACTCACGAGCAAATTAATTGGGGGAAGTTGTAGGAGATGCAGTAGCTGCTGCTCGCGAGTCCCAGCCATCTAGCTTAGCCCACATCCGCGCCGCGTGTAGCGATGCGGGGGATACAGTCGGCGGTAAGGCATAGTCACAGAAACAGGTCTGCAATTAACATATCACTGAGACCCTGTTAGAGCATTTGTTCAACTATACGGAGCCGATCCTAGTTTTGCCGCGATTCGTTTATCGCCGGAAGTTCACATATTTTTAATTGGACTGAGCCCTGTAAGGATATTTCAGGCCACCATAATGCTGGGGTAGAAGTTCGGAGGAGAGCCTTTATTTACAACCAAAACATGAGGATATAACAAGTGTGGCATACTCATACTGAGAGAATGAAATGTCAGATGACTGAGGTAAAAAGTGTGCATATAAGGGAGCTGACTGGTCGTAGAAGACTAAAAAAATTGTGGGGAGATTATAAAACCTAGACAGATCAACAACAACCGGTGTCCTGTCACAAACCAAGTGAAAGAAAAGAAGGCTTGCCAGAGAGATAAATGAATGGAGCGGATGATATATCAGCAGATGAACCTCAACTAGCTCGGACTGCTTAAGCACACATATAAATCTACTTATACCTCTGCATATAAATGGTGCACTTGAAGTATATCATGTTTACCTTTTCACCTAGACAGATCAACAACAACCGGTGTCCTGTCACAAACCAAGTGAAAGAAAAGAAGGCTTGCCAGAGAGATAAATGAATGGAGCGGATGATATATCAGCAGATGAACCTCAAATAGCTCGGACTGCTTAAGCATACATATAAATCTACTTATACCTCTGCATATAAATGGTGCACTTGAAGTATATCATGTTTACCTTTTCACTTGTAAATTGCCGATAAACTAAAGCGGCACTCAGCACAAGTGTTGTGGTCACCAAAGCAACTGTGCCGGTGCTCACGTCCGCCAGTCCCAGTGTTTCTTGCAACTGTTCCAAAGATGATTCTACAAACATTCTTGTTTGTTTGTAATATAATTCGTAGCTTCAAATATGTAATTAGTTTATGTGGACTATATCACAGTATATGCGTCTATACACAAACATGTAATTCTACAATATCTCTTCTTCTAAATTTGTTGAAGGTTCAGCCAGCCATTCGTTTGGGACAAAACACAACCGCAACCGGAAACCAAACCGCGCACTTCTTGTCTATAAAACACATGTACTAGTTAAAATTATTTGAAGCATTAAAATATACTTAAGTTCCAAAATATATATTCAAGATGTTTTTTTCAGCAGTTTTAAGTTTAAATAAGTACACCGACAGGTGAACCGATTAAGTCTCCTTAAAGGACTATATTTCCTCTATGGTCTGATCATAGATATAATATTGTTACGCACATGAGATCATTCCGAGTCTTGTGTCACAACTGATATCATGTAGTAGTCCAGTACACCCAAACTCGGGGTTGCCATAGTAGCTTTTTTTTTTTAATATAAAAAGCCAAACTCCAGAAATTTTGTGTGTTTGAAATTCTTTTTTTTTTCCTTCTTCTTCTTCGCGTTCACCGGCTGTAAATTCCTGCAGAAATTTCTGGTTGTTCATCCATTTCTGGACTTCAGTCCTGTTCCAGAACCTGAGTGATGCGTGTGCATCCGTTTCACAGATCTGACTCATTTGCAGACTGTTAGTTCCTTGCCTCTCAGGCAGATGACTTTGAAGGAAGCTCCCAATTAGTCGACTCTTACAGCATGCTTTTTGGTAGACATTGGGTCTGTTCTTGTTTTCCCCCTAATAGGGCCCGGAACCCACACGAGGAGGTATTTGAAATTGGGCTCTTCTCCGAACTTGGTCCCGATATTATGGCGGCCATAAAATATCCTTACGGGGCTCATGTATCAGTTCGTGTGCCGACACACCTCCATGCCATGCAACAAGATGTCAAGCATCTTCTCTCGTTGTCTTCCTCTATCCCTCCTTCCACAGATCTTCCAGTGGTCACAACATGTTCTATCTTCCCTCTTCTCATAACATGGCCGAAAAATGATGACTGTCTCCTTCTGATGTCAGTGATAAGTTGTCTTCGGTCTCCCGCCTCTTTCAAAACCTCTTGGTTGCTCTTTTTGGCTGTCCAAGGTATTCTAAGCATTCTTCTGTAAAACCACATCTCTGAGGCCTCTAAAAATTGTTTGGCCTGCCTACCGATTGTCCAGGATTCACATCCATATGTTAAAACTGGATGTATGTAGCAAGCAAGAATTCTTTTTCTAACTCTCAATGACAAGGATATATTGCACAAGATGTTTTTTCATTTTATAAAATGCAGTTTTTTTGCCTGTCCAATTCTGTTTCTTATTTCAGTTATGCATCTTCCATCTGATGTTATCCATGTGCCCAGATACTTAAATTTCTGTACTTGTCTTAAAATAACACCATTGACTTTTATTACACATTTAGGAATAATTTGTTTCTTTGATACCACCATTACTTCTGTCTTCCCATTATTCAAACTGAGGCCCATTCTTCCACTTTCTAACACCACAATGTCTATCATTTCCTGTAATTCTTTCTGACTTGTTGCTATCAAGACTGTGTCATCAGCATAACGTAAATTGTTTATATTGTGCCCACCAACCACGATTCCGGGCATATCAATTAAAGATCTCATAATATATTCACTGTATATTGAAAACAAATCAGGTGAAAGTACACATCCTTGTCGTACGCCCCTCTTTATGCTTTGAAATGTACCTAAACAGTTGTTAATTCTTATAGCTGCTGTTTGCTGCCAATACATATTCTTTATTATTCTTAGATCTTTCCCATCAATGTTTAATTTTTCTAACAGTTTGATTACTTCTTCATGCTTCACACAGTCAAATGCTTTTTGTATAGTCTATGAAGCATAAGTACAAATCAGTCTTTACTTCTATAGCTCTTTCTGACAATGTCCTTAGGATGTATATGGCATTGTTTGTACCTTTTCCTTCTACAAATCCACATTGTTCATCGCTGATTTCTGGTTTAATTTTGTTTCTTATTCTTCTCATAATTATTCTCAGTAAAATCTTAGTCATGTGACTCATAAGACTTATTGTGCGATGGTCTTCACATTTTAAAGTGCCTGGTTTCTTCGGCAGAGCTATAAATATGGATTTTAAAAGGTCATTTGGAATATACCCACTGTTATAAATATCATTTAAAAGTTTAGTTATTATTTCAATTCCAAAATTTCCCAGTGCTTCGATTTCTTCCAGTGAGATGTTGTCTGGCCCGGGTGCTTTTCCTTTCTTCATATGATGTATTGCATCCTCAACTTCTGCAGTCATTATTGGTGGACCATCATTGTTGTTCTGCAGTTCTACGTCTGGTCTATTATCATCATACAATTCCCCTATATACTCTGTCCATCTGTTAATTATATTACTATGTCCCATTAATAAGTCACCATCCTTTGATATCAAACATCCAGTGCTGTTACGTGTCATCTTTCCTGTTAACATATTTATCTGTTGGTACATGGAATGTGAGTCTTTCCCGTGATTTTCCCCAATCTCTGTACACATTTGATTCAGCCAGCTTCTTTAGCCACTTTGCATTTGTTCACTATTTCTTTTTGTATTCTAGAGTATTCTTCTTTATCATTCTTTTTCTTCCTTCTTTCATCCATCAACTGCAGAATTTCGGTTGACATCCATTTCTTTTTTTGCAACTGTATGGGTTGGTGGGATTGTCTCTTTGATGTCTGCTGAATTGACTCACGCAAACATATCCCACTGTTCATCAATTGTTTGTATAATTTCCATTGCATTATACCGGTTTTGTACAGTGACGTTTGTACTGTTCCTTAATTCTTTATCCGTTCTAAGAATTCCTAAATTTAACTTGTGTTCTGTGGTGTTTTTCTAATGTTCTTTAGTTTTATTCTAATTTTTCCTACAACTGGAACATGGTCACTAAAGCAGTCTGCCCCTGGTCTAGTTTTAGCTCCAACTAAGCTGCTCTGAAATCTTCTTGAAATCAAAATATAATCAATCTGATTGCGGACATTATCACCAGGACTTTTCCAAGTCCACAATCTTCGAGGATGGTTTTTTAAACCAGGTGTTACCTATTATCATGCTGCGCGACTCAGCCCATGCTATTAATCTGTCACCTCTCACATTCTTTTCTCCTAGTCCATATCCACCCGTTATTCCGTACACTTTTTCACTCAGTTCTTCCGATTGAGGATTAAGCAGCCGTAGATGTCAGACCTGCCGACCTGTATCGAGTAATAACCGATACACTGTTATGGTTGCAATGACTGGCTACCCACAGGCTAATACGCAACTCGCAGGTATGTTCTTCCTGCCAGGGTGATATGTCGTTGGCAGCGCGGCAGGTGGCCTCTGACAGATACTCGTGGCGCTGTTGTCGCTGTAGTACTCAGTGTAGCGTGCTCACTGGCTCGTTCTTTGCCAGATGCAACATGACAACTGAGAAAATAGTCATGATCACAACCGGCTCAGATATGAAGCACTCTTTGCACCACATGCTCTAAGAAAAAGGCCAATAGGCTTAAAAGGGGCTGGGTAGGGCAGAGGATGACATCATGCAAGTCTGCAGCCTTACAGATATCCACCCAGGTGAGGAATGGATAGCCGGTCGTGGTCATGATGATGTTTTACTGGCGTATCCCCCGCGCCGCTACGCGCGGCGCGTATGGGGGGGGGAGGGGGGCTAAACTAGGTGCCTGGGACTCACGAGCAAATTAATTGGAGGAAGTTGCAGGAGATGCGGTAGCTGCTGCTCGTGAGTCCCAGCCATCTAGTTTAGCTCCCATCTGGTGTCGTTATAACTCTTCACAACTGTAAGTCCTCAACAGATAACCTATCCAAAAGGTGACTAATAAATGGATGGGAATTAACATTTCAGACGGTCGGCGGTGAGGCACAGTCACAGAAACAGGTCCGCAAGTAACATATCGCTGAGACCCAGTTAAAGCATTTGTTTCGTTATACGGAGGCAGCATATTTTTAATAGAACTAAGCCCCGTAAGGATTTTTTATGGCCGCCATAATATCGGGACGAAGTTCGGAGGAGAGCCTGAAATTGATTTAGACAATGAGCTGGTGTATTTTGGAGTGTTTGGGTTTTCTTGGCTATAATAAACGAGACGTGCTCACATTTTCTCCATAGTTCCTCCTTGAGAAACATGCTAAATTTACTAAAAGCAATGTAGGCCTACGGTTAACATTTTTATGTCAGTTTTATCTATGTTACGATGTCCTGGTACGGCTGGTAAAGAGACTAACGGAGATTGGCGACATTTCTTTATGTATGAGCATCTGTGTATGAATATGTTGTCTTCTAAACGGATCGTGACTGCGATAAACCAAGGCCGTATGTAATTTAACTATAATAATTTATAAAGTATATAATATAATTATTCACTATAACAATAATAATTAATAATAACTATAATAATTCATAGATAAACCATCGCACGTTCACACTTCATGCAGTACGGAGTCACTTAGCTTGGAAGACTTATATGTGCTGGTGGTGGGAGTTTACAGAGAGAAAAATGTTAATTTACCAGAATAGATGCGGGATATAAAACCAAACCCCACCACTGAAACCAAGTGATCCGGACTGTTCAGAAGCTACTTGAGGATAGAAAATAAAGATGATATAGACCTAGTTGTATTCGTGATAGATTTTATTACTTTTACCAATGACCACATAATTAAAAAAATGGGCTCTTCTTGCAATAACGGTCGCTAGTTGGACAGTGGCGGCCGCTTAGTCGGAGTTCAGTCCCCTGGCTGCAGTGCAATTACGAAGTGGAAAAGATGGAACGACACAAATGACATAATTAGGGCTAGGGGTAGGGTTAGGGTTTGGGTTAGGGTTAGGCTTATGTGAATCGCAGCGCGTGGTCTAGACGCCATGTTGAACTCACTGTGTTTTTTTATTCGTGCCTTGTCCACTCCGTAATTGCACTGCAGCCAGGGGACTGAACTCCGACTAAGCGGCTACAGAAGAAAACATATTTAATTTGATTAATAAGGAAATCAAAAGCTGTGGCCAGAGTCTTATAAACTGCACTGGGTTTGCGTCAGATGGCGCTTCAAACAGGGTCGGGTGCAAGAACTCTGTATGGTCTAGAATTAAAGATGTGTCTTCTTTTTGTGTACAGCTCAAATGTATTGCCACCATGCATTTGTAATGAAGTTGCCAAGCTGCTATCAAATATTGGTTTCTTACTCTCAGAAATACCTCAATGGTTTCGCCATAGTGATTTAGGACGAGAAGCCTTTAACGAAATTTTTAGAATGGTGAACACATCTAAAGAGTTTGAATCCGGACAAACTGTTCCTCTTCCATTTGAAAAACTTCTATCTACTAGGGAGCTTGTACGTGAAAAGATTTCAGTATGTTGGTGAACTGGGAGGAACTGAAAGATTATTTCACATGTTTTGAATTAGTCCAGACCACGTTTGACACAAAATATAAAGTAAGATTGTTAAAGCAAATGCTTTTAGACCACAATAATTATTTGAACTTTGTGTTTGTGACACCAGTGCACAAGAATTTGAAAGACTGAACAGTCTTTATTAACTAACAAAAGCTGATTCTCGTGTACTACACAAAGAACTGTCCATGCATCAGAAAAGTCCCTAAGAACAGACTGTGTGATGTCAATGAGCAGAAAAAAAGAAATATTCATCAGGGTGACTTTGGTATTAAATTTATAACGGGAAAGTAACGGGTTCCTCCTGCAGAAGAATAACGGGGCTAAAGATCTAACATTTTAACACTGCAGTATTAACGTTGACTTTAAAACGCTCAAATAAATACATCATCATCATGTTAGTCATTTCGAAGGCTGGCGTTCGCCTCATCTGATCATACCATACTATTACACATTTTTAAAAAAATAATCTGTTTACCATTATGTGACTTGACGCGCGTATGTGTGACGTATTTTACCATTCATCGAGACAGTGGCCACATTGGATACTCTTTTCTGACAGTAAAGGCAAAGCGAGTAGGGTACTCATGCAACCAGGCAATTCTAAAAGGTTGCTAAAGCGTGGAAGTCATCAAAATCCCCCCTCGCCCTCTCTCTCTCTCTCTCTCTCTCTCTCTCTCTCTCTCTATATATATATATATATATATATATATATATATATATATATATATATATATATATTAGTGTGAAAATCAACAAGAAACTATCATATTAGACATACATTAAAACTTAAAAAAACGTTCATTAATTTTTTTTACACGATTAGGATGATGATGATGATGATGATGATGAAATCCAAGTGTTCGTATTTATGACCGATAAACAAGCACTTGAGTGACTGGAGGTCGGTGTTTATTATTTTACCATGTATATAAACGCCTAGGTCACTGACAATCAATCAATATATATGAAGGTAAAATCCATGAGCTATAACTCTACACACCGTCTTGTATGTGCAATTGTGGCTCATTAACCGCATAAGAACAATAATAAATTTAACATACAGTAACGAATTTATACAGTTAGAAATTAAAAACTGCCATTTCAGATTTGACTTTGTGTGCGCACGGCAGCTATTTCATATATCAAATTGAAAAACTGTTTACACTCCTCTGCGATTTTTCCGTTTTTTTTTTTTTTTAATTACCGAGAAAAGTTGTTGTGTGTGCTGTTTATCGGCTGAGTCCAGAACCATCATAGTTGACAAGATGGGCATCGCTTTAACGACAGTAGTATTTAACTTCTGGAAATGAGCCACTTTTACCTCTAAGAGACATACATACAACTCATTGGATATTTAGGTTTCCCAGAATGCACAATAAAATTCTGCTGTGTAAAAACTCACTGTTTGTTGTGAATACAACAGGAGTTCAACGACAATAGGACCAGTTTAGTGGTCTAGAAGCTAGTTTGACTGGTAGATGATTTGTGTTCACTGCTTTTATGGGTTATCGTTTTTGCCAGTTTTGTATTTCTGAACATATTTAGAAATGTAGTTTTGAACGAAGTACTCATGGAGTAAAACACAAAAAAATTCACAGCTCCGTTACTGAGGTCAAAGATCCACAGCACATAACTAACAAACATAAATATGTTGTGATATCTTCTTAGGAAATAGAAGTCGTAAATTAGGTATTTGGCCAGGTACAAACCAATTCGCGGGGACAAACCCACAACGTAGACTCCGATTATAACCATGAGCATCTTGATGACTTGTCGATCTCGATTACTCAATTGGTTAGCAGTTTCAACTTTAACTTCTGCTCTCCCTGAGCGGAATTTGGAGCTCTCTTGTAATTTGTATGCGATAACTGTTGTACAAACTACGATCACTGCAAAACTCACCAATGGCCAGAGTATGCCAGATAAATTGTAGTATTCAAACAAAGGGCCCTGGTTGGCGTAGTAAAACGCATTATTCTGGTAAATGGCTACACTTTTGTTGTACGTCTCATTCATGACCCACACAATGTCGTAAACGCCAAACAACACGGCAAACCAACCAAATATAAACAATGATATGAACAGGCAGACGCTAAAAGTGACTTTGGGTGTGAGCAACCATTTCACCTTGAACGGAATGCACACACACAAACATCTCTCCACAGCAACATAAGCTGCTAGCACACTTGTAACGTACGTGGAAAAGCATATGAGATAGTTGAATGCCACAATACAAATATTAGTCCAGCTTTCGGCATCTGCTTCAGAAAAGACGCTGATCGGTCCAGACATTCTCTGCATTGCTGCTGCTATGCATTTGATAAGGTCCCAAATAGAGATGGCTGTCATAGAGATATTGACACTTTCTTTGAATCCTTGCTTGATGAATACGGCGATAACAATAGTGTTAGAAATGATACCCATATTCGCAATGATGAAAGAAAATATCAAATCCATGATAATTTCGGAAACTCTACGACCAATATTGCTTAAAATAATCTCCAAAGGTTTGAACTTTGTAATTGCACGCGTGATTCCAGTGTTTATAGTATTATTGGTGGACACAGACGTTGGCATAGCTGACTGAGCCATTATTTTTTTTTTTTTTTTGCAGTCTTTTACTAGTGTTGTGCTCAAGTAAGGCTTTAACAGTTACTCAGCGTGAAAACCAAAATTCGTCATTTTTATTTATACAAAACTATTGAAACAACACATTTGAGCTCTGATTGCTTCAATGTAAATGTTTAAAGAAATGACCATTTTCATTTTGATTCCATCAGCGTACCAATGATAGTCGTTATACGTGCCACGCTTAAACACGCGTTTGCCAGGTTGCTGATATGTGGTATTGATGTTTCCAATAAATTCTTAATTATCAATAAAACCAACTTGGAGCTGGCAAATAATTTAGAGCCAGGGGCAAACATAGCTAGAATTTTTATTATAGTGGTTCAGTTTAAAAAAATTCAATCGTTGCTGAAAAGTGTAGTAAATGTTCAATGTCTTTAAAAAAAAAAAAGTACATTAGACATATCGTTCAGTCTTGTTTCAATAATAATAATTCACACAGCTAAAAATATAAAAAATATCCGGTGATAGCATAGGTCAGATTAATTTTCACAAGTTGTAAATATCCCTTTCTGTTTTTGTGCCTGAAAAAAAAAAAGGAAAACATCAGTTTTTCAGGATGAATTATTTTACAGTATACGGAAAACATTTTGTAATCTCAAGTACACTAATATATATAATCAATTATTAGGAAGTAATTCTTAATGTAAATCTGTTAGTTTTAGATGCAAAGTAATAGCAGTTTATTGAAAAGAAAAAAAACCCACACTACTGTATGCATCAAGGCGGATTTTTTTAAAAACATAATTGATTTGGATCTCAGGTTCATTTAGTTTAAATAAAAAAGAGTACTATGAAATATTCTGTGGAGTAAAGTCATCCACTACGATGTTGGCCACGTCACCAGTTTAGCACCGATTGATCTATGAAATAAGCATCTAGCATCATCTGCCCGATGCACTTTTAACGGTAATTAATTTACCTACTAAATGAAATCTTGATATAGATTTTTCAATTAGTTACTGGTAACTTTGGCATATTAAGAGAATGTCAGATGACAGAGAGGTATCACTGTATACACAAAGGATCTGAATGGTTATAAACCGATTAAGAAGACTATAGAAAGATAATGTCCAGACATTCAAACGCTTGTGTCACCAACTGGAAAGAGAAGGCCAACAAGAGAGATGACTGGAAGCGGGTGGTATCTGCAGCAATGAACCCCAAGGGCTCGGAATGCTGAAGAAGAAGAATTGGTAACTTACCACATGGAAGATGCTACCGTTGTTTCTCGAAAATAAGTTAGTTCATATCCTTTACATGATGTAGTAGGACCAGCCCTAACTTTTTTTTACTGTTTGTGGATTTTCTAGGCACATTTTACGTTGAGTAGTTTGTCATTGTCCTGAACGGTCAGCTCTGGGTATTGCTGTGGAAACCAATGCAAGTTAAGATTACCAGCAACCAAATCACCCGCAGCTGGTATCGAACTCGGCACCCATGCATTACGACGCGCGTCCACAACGCCTAAGCCACAGACGCCGACCTGAAAATAAGATCTATCCCAAAAGTAAGCCCTGGTTAAGATCGTCAGCTAGAATGAGAAGTGGTTCTACTGGTAATGGAGAAATTCAGGCCGGAATTCGTCATTCGGAGAGTCATGGAGATGCTCCAGAAGATTATATGACTGTAACTGAATAAATGTAGAATTTTGTAAATGAATAAATGTAAATTTTTATATTTAAAACAAAAGACATCCCTCGAAAATAAGAACCAGAAGCTCTAGTGCTGTTTTAGAAGAAGAAAAAAAAATGGTGAAAGCGTCCCAGTGTTGGACGCAATTTTGTTGTTGCTTTGAAGCCCCACCCTGGCTGTTGTCGGGGGCCCTAACTTAACCTAACCTGTGGGTTGAACGGAATTTCTTGGACCTGTACCCTGGTGATCCTCGTCGGAATGTTGACACTCTGTGTCACTGGGTGTTTATCGCTCGGTGTATGGGGTTAAACAACAGTAAGTCGGAAGGGAACAAAATCTTAATTTAAAACCCGGTCTTATTTTCGGGGTAACACTATCTTCGTTTGAGTTTGGTAGACAAAACTCATTTCACTTTTTTTTTTAAATTTCAGCTGTAACGATATTCTCATGAAATTAAATAACCACATGAACCTGTACAAAGGTCAAGACCGAAGGCTTTACTTCCAGGTCATTTTAAAATAGGAGATGACTGCGTATAATAAGTAAAGCAAGCCTTTACAGAGACATGAGGGCTGTTGGATATATGCTGCGTGCCCCTATTTTATTTCCACAAATCTACACTCCGTGAATTATGTTTTCAATATCGTACCGGCTCGTTACACTTCACATGCAATTTCATGGTACTCAATGTAGGTCGAGAGTCCGGGTCAAGAGCGGAGACTGATGGGATGGGTTCTTGGTGGGGGAACTAGGGGGGGGGGGGAATCACCGCTACCCAGTGACGAGGCGTGCATGTAACCTCTACAATCGCCGCTTTCTTTCCAGTGTCAAAGAAAAAATTCATTATTTTATTATTTGTATTACTGTTCGGATTGGACTACGACGGATTGCAAAACATAGCAGAAGGCATGGTACCGGGAAGGAGGGGCAGGGGCCGACCGACACGAAGATGGGCACAGGATATAAGTGACTCCTTGAGTATGAAAGTACATGAGGCGGGAGAACTGGCGAGAGAACGAATTTCTTTCAGGCAGACTGTGATGAGAGCGACGTTCTGCAAAGGACTTGGTACATGACGATGATTATGATTACTGTTCACTATTTATTACAAATAGGGAGTCGCGGTGGCCTAGTGGCTAGACGCTCGCCGCGGATCGGAAGGTCGTGGGTTCGCTCCCTGGCGGAGCCAGACTTTTTTCAAAAATGACCTTGGCTTCCAGGTCGACCCAGCCTTGAGTGGGTACCGGGTACAGTCCCGGGAAGTAAAGGCGGCCGGCGTGACGCTGACCACATCATCCATCTGGTGCCGATGGGTCTATAAAAATATAGGTCCAGCCCTATATGCCCTATACGCCTTAAGGCGTGGAGAAGGGTCCTTTACTTACTTTTTTACTTATTTATTACAAATGGGCAACTCTGTTTATTTACGTCTCAAGCATATGGAAAACACACTCTCGCTGCTTAAAGTTCAAGAAAAAGAGCCAAACTGAACCTCTTATTAAGACATCCAAACATAAAAAAATGACAGCCAAGAAACAGATTTTAAACAAAGAATACACAAACATTAGATTGCACAATTTATTCCCTGGCATATTTCGCTGCATCTCGCCAGGTCATCTTCCACTTTTTCTGTCGTTCGCCTGAAATAAGTTGTCTATATCAAAAGTTTTGTCCCTTGTATAAATGTCACTGTCGTTGTTGATTCATTCAGTGGTCCATAGAGTTTACGTTCCACTCGTGTTCTTTCTGACCGAAAGGTTTGCCTTAATGTGTCAAATTTGGTGCATCCCTGGAGTACCTGCTCTGCTGTCTGGGGCACCTTTCCACAGGTGCACATGGCTGATACGCCTATCTTGAATTTTGTGTACATGTGGCTACGTAATCGGTTGTGCCATGTTTTGAGGCGGAGGATAATGACTTGATCTGATCTGTCCATAATAAAATATTGTCAGGTCATTACTACCGTAACAATTCTATAAATGAAGCAGATAAGTCAATCCTTTATAACCAAAGTACAAATTCAACAACAATCAAACGCAACTGTCTGTTTCACCAGGGCAGGCGCAGTGTCAGAGTCATGTCTTTTTATTTACATAGTTCAGGGCGGAGGTAACAAATGGCGGCGGCTTCAATAAATCTTAGCGTTCTGACACTGAACGACGAGTTGTTGAATTTGTACTTCAGTTATAAAGGATTCACTTATTTGCTTCATTTATGTAATTGTTACTGTAGAATACACCTGACGAGATACAGCAAAATATGCCAGGGAATAAATTGTTCAATCTATTGTTTGTTTCTTCTTTGTACAAATTTACAACGGAGAAATAGTGTTTGGATTCAAGTTTATTCATACTAAAACTATGCTACAAGTGCTATATATGGACACTATCAAAGACTCACCGACATTAAATTTACCTACATAAAATTAATACCTGCCAGATGCAATACTTGATGGAAACAGCCATCGAGAAGCAGACGATCAAATGACTCAGTCATTTCTGTACTATACTGTAACTACTGTCTGTATGTATCACGTTAGAGGGCGATGTAGAGAGGAAGTCTTGAGCCTGAGGAAGTAGTGCTGTCGCCACGGACTGTGCAAGTAAGGATGTTTTAATTTGGCATCCGATAGAAGAATTCCATCATCTTCCGGGGGGTGGGGGGTGGGGGTGGGGTCGAACCTAAGTCTCCTGCATGAGAGTACCCGCTGTACACGGTACCAGGTGAAGTTCTGGGAAGAATAGGTAGCTGGTATGATGTTCACCTCATCACCCACATGATGGCGGCTGGTCTATAAATGATAGGTCTAACTCTGTATGCATAATACGCTTGAAGACATAGAAAGGGGTCCTCTACTTTACTTTTACAAAAATTTATACATCTGTAGTATGCACATTTATGTAGTGCCTATGTATTCCGTTACGCCTGCATGTATGCAGTCTAAAATTGAAGTATATAGTTCCACAAAGTGTTGTTTGTAGTCTGGTAACGAATAGTGATGCATACGTTTAGCTGAAGGATAAGAATGGGTCAAATTAATGATTTCACAGGGGCTTCCTACACCTTGAATATCGCCCTGTAAATAT